AGTTTGTTGAGCAATCCTCTTCCTACTTGAAATGCAAAGACTTGTAGTGAGTTGTTGATTATTATAGTTTCTGAAAGATATCTTCCAAGGATATTTGGCCCTTTCTATGGTTTCCTTGTATGCAAACTCATGTTCATGGGAAATCTGGTGCTTCAACATAAAAACAAATTAAAACTTCAATAAAGCTGTTATTGTAAAGATGAAGAGAAAGAGACAGGAACAGTCTAGAGGCATGCCATATATGACTCTAGACTGGACTAAGGACTAGAAGAAAAAAAACTATAGAGGACATTACTGGATCAATTAGCTAAACTGGATTACAGGTGCCCAAATGGATAGAAATGTACCAATATTAAATTTACTAAAGTTGATTACTATCGTTATGTAAGAGAATCACCCTATCCCTAGGAAACATGCACTGAAATATTATAAAGGACCATGATGTATGTAACTTACCTTTAAATGGTTCAGAAATTATTCATCATATGTATATAAAATATCTATTATAGATAAATAAATATAGACAGTTGATAAAGCAATTTGATAAAACATTAGCAATAGGTAAATATGGGTAAGAGGTATATGGGTTTCTTTGCACTATTCTTGCAACTTTTCTATAAGTTCAATTATTTCTAAACAAAAAAAAAATGAACATGATTGTGATTATGATTCTCATAAAAACATCCACTCTGATCTGGTCCCTGCCTACCTGTCCAGTCTCATCTTCATTCACCGGAAAGTTCCCTGGGCTTTTGTTATCCATTCTGCATTAACTGTATTTCCAGACCACTCTCTATGCTTCGTTCCTGTACAGGCTACACATACATTTTTCTGTCTGAAATATGCTTATAATGTCTTCTCTGCTTGAAAACCTTCTAATCATCCTCACCACTCTGCTGTAACACATCCATCATGATGAAGTAGGTTAGGACACCAGTTATGAGCAACAATTTTGCACTCGGGTAGCCTGGAGCTCAACACCTGGCTCTATACTCTCTCCCTATCACACATCAGGCAAGTTATTTTCTGCTCTAAGGTTCAGTTGTCCCAGATGTGAAACATATACATTATGAAATATACATATACATTATGAGTATAATTAGGTATTATTATATATAATTATATGAATATAGTGAATGAATATAAATAAACAAATACATTATGAAACAGTAACATTAGATGGGAGTGAATGAGAAGATACACATCACATGCTTGGCACAGAGCCTGGCAAATTAAGCATTCGTTAAATGCTTGTTTTACCCTTGCTTCCTCCCCTTCAATAAAATAATAAATAAATACTTGATTGGGTGGAGAGGGAGGTGGGAGGGGGGACCGGGATGGGGAATACATGTAAAAAAAAAAAAAAAAGATACACTATGGTTGTGATAAAATAAATAAATAAATAAATAAATAAATAAATAAAATAATAAATACTTGGCTCTGAAGATCTCAGAAGTATAGTTAGTCAAAATATATTTTACCCTTCAACTCATTTATAAATATTAGGATCTTTATATCAGATAGCTTCCAATTTATAAGCTAGGAAATCGACTTGGTTCTTTGTGGCTAGGATTTAAAGTATTTGAGAAGGAATAAAGGAAATAAGTGAGTTTAGAGTACTGAGGCCAGGATTTGAGAAGTTAGGTCATTATCCTGTGGACAAAGTTTTTAAAAGGATGGGAGTGCAGTGATCCAGTTTATAACTTGAGAAGTCAGTCTGAGAAGAGTGTGAAACGTTAACTGGGAGGAAGAGACGTTAGTTTCATCAAGGCATGTTAGGAATGGTATCAGCCTCTACTCGGGAGACAGTTTGAATAAATGCAGAGGGGGACAAAAGGGAGGACTCCTGGATGGAATCAATGAGGTGGAATTGATGACATCTGACCAACCAACATGGTGGTGAGGGGGAAGGAAAATGCTCTTGGTTGATGACCAGGGTCATCATGAACTGAGATGATGAATGCAAGAGGAGGCAACAAGCATTGTGGGAGGAGAAAAATAATAGGTTCAAATCTGGTAAGTTACAGTGAAGTAGCTGAGGGGTTTCCCAGTAGAGGTGACCAGTAGACAATTACTAATGGATGTTTCCGTTTAAAAAGCGTGAGTCCACATGCTGGAAATCAGGATGGTATAAAACACATGGCTGTATAGAGTGTTCAGGTGTAAATACTGGAATCACTGTGCAAAACTTACAGCACTGGGGCTAATTAGCAGGAAGGTCTAAAAAAGTTAATCTGCTTAACCTTAATGTTTTCATTAGTATAACAGTTAAAGCTCCAAATCTAGACATACAGATGTGTTACTGGAGCCCCCTCCCCAATTTCTTTCCCCTCTAGCAGCAGCAGCATTTTCTAAGGAGTATGAAATTATGAAAGGAGTGACATTAGAATGGACTCAAATCTGAGCCTAGCCAGTGATTAATCTGAGTTACATTTAACAAATGACTTAATCACTCAGAACCTCAGTTTCTTCACCTTTGGAGTTGGATAGCAGTGGTAACTTAGGGTTGCTATGAAGGGAGGGAAAAAAACACAGTGGTCAAGAACAAGAGTCCTTAAAACAGACTGTCTTGGGGTTGAATTCTAATGTGCCATTCATTAGCTGTGTGACTTCAGTTAAGTTTCTGACCCTCTCTGGGCTTCAGTTTCCTTACCTGTAAAAAGGGATACCCTTTCCTTTGCTGTTTCTGAATTAATCAGTGACCAGGGCCATGCTTCCCAATATACCACTCTTCCTGCAGAGAGAAATGAAGCACTCCCCCAAGAACAGGGTGAAGGTGCAAGTCAAGGACCACAGAAATTGTTACCAGGTGCCCAAAAGCCCAAGGCTGCACTTAGGAAAAGAATTGCAGTTCTGGCGAAAAGAAGAATGACTCTATTGTAACTGTCATCTGATCCGGACTGGGCAGGAATAGAGGTTAGTGTGGCCTTCCTGGTTCAGAAGAGCGTAAATGAGGGTTAGATTCTGAGTATGTAACAGCTGGAAAGGTACCTGTCCAGCACTTTCTTTTCAAAGATGAGGACCCTGAAGCCCAGGAAGGTTGTCTGCAGATGGTCATACTCCATACCAGGGACTGAGCAGGACTCCTGACTCTCACTCCAGTGCTCCTTTCTTCACATAATACAGATGGCCTCAGATTTGCTAAAAAATACTGTGTGGTTATTCTTTTCTGAGGAAAGGAAATCAGAGATCTGAAAACGGACCAATTACTCAGGCATTATGTTTTACATTACACACAATACAGCACTTCCCAGGTGGCGCTAGTGGTAAAGAAACTGCCTGCTAGTGAGATCCATGAATTCCATCCATGTCAGGAAGATCCCCTGGAGGAGGGCCTGGCAACCCACTCCAGTATTCTTGCCTGGAGAATTCCATGGTCAGAGGAGACTGGTGGGCTACAGTCCATAGGATCACAAAGAGTTGGACTGAAGCGACTTAGCATTCAGACTCATTAAAAAAAATGTATGTTGTGATGACAATATAATTAGAATATGTTTGGCTTAGCATTAGACACAACTTTGAAATGAGAACAAAAATCCACTGACAGAATCATCTGTGCATCCTCCTATTCTACCATCCTAGCTTCACCCCTAAACGTATCTAATTTCTCATCCTTTTCACATGGGTAATACTTTTTTACATTTCTACCTTTACATGTGCTGCTTCCTGTGCCTGGAATGCTTTTTTCTTCATAAATTAACTCATCTGTTCGTTATTAGGTTTTCTGTGTAATCTACTCATTCCAATTCTAGTCTTGTTGGTTTTTGCAAGAGGAGTCTGGCAGGCTACAGTCAATAGGGTCGCAAAGACTCCGACACGACTGGGCGCGCACACACACACACACACACACACACACACACACACACACACACACACACACACACACACACACACACACACACACACACACACTATAGCACTTAACAGACTTTATTTGGATGTGACAGTGTCTTCAGCCAATAATGATCTCCTTAGAAATGTCCCAAGCCTAATGGAGTGCTCAACACAAGCACTTCTCCCATATTTTTACAGAATTAGAAATAGAAATGAGATGAAAGCAAAGGAATGGTGAACAAGGGATTCACTATGTAAGTTACTTCCAATAGGAAGAGGCCGACTTTGGATGGTGGGTTGGTGAATCCTTATAAAATATTTTAAAATAAAATTTAAGAATGCCGTATTACTAAGGCACAGTAACAAAAAACTACTCACTCGAGAAGATTGGCCTACTGTTATCAGTTACACTACAAAGGTTGCTCTTTGACTAAACTGTCCACACGTTCGTTCCCTGCATTGATAAAGATGGAAAGTTGAAACGGGGAATTAAAGGTTAAACCTCTTTCGCTTAGTGGGCCTGATTTTTACATTAAAACTTGTGTGTCAGTAGACACTGCTTTGGGTGTGACCACTTTGTTTCCTTCCGTTTTTAGCAGGAATAATACACACTGGGTTAGAATATTCCCTAGACTTGGTTATTTGGTGACGTGAACGGAAGGTGCTCATTTTTGGTCTCCCCGTCACCATTGCCAAATAGCACGTATTTACTCGGCGCCGAGTTATACACTAGGACTAACAGCGAGGATTCAACAAGGCAACACCACCGACTTCCCCTTACAAGGGGCCCGTGGCTTTTCCGAGGAAACACTTGCCCTGGGCCGGTACCCGAGCGCTAACCGCCCCTCCGCGCCTGGCCTGGCGGCGGTGACTGAGTCCAGCTCCTCGGGTTTTCCAGAGGAGGGCTGCTGCCGAACCAGCCTAACTGGGTTTGGACGCCGCGCTCCGACGTTCGAACGCCGTCCCTGGGGCCTCGGCCAATGGGGAAAGCGGGCCGCGAGGCTACGCCCCGCCGCCGATGACGTCACGGCGACGCCCAGGGCGCGCGGGCTCCTGGGCGCCTGGGCCTCCGCCCCCTGACGTCGGCTCGGAGCTCTTTCTTGGGCTGTGTGCAGGTTGCTTCTCTACCAGGTCTTGTGCCTGTCGCTGCCTTCGCCTTCTGCACCATGGCTTTCGTAACCAGGCAGTTCGTGCGCTCCATGTCCTCCTCCTCCACCGCCACGGCCTCAGCGAAGAAAATCCTCGTCAAGCACGTGACGGTCATCGGCGGTGGGTTGATGGGCGCCGGCATTGCCCAGGTGGGCCGTCCGCGGGCACCAATGCCCACTCGCTTTTCTGCCCGTCCTGACAGGAAGGCGCTGGCGGGCCGTGACACGGAGTGGGGTGTCCGGCCCGAGGCCAGCGCCCACGGAGACTCGGGGAGTCTTCATCCCGACCCTCCCCCGTGTAGTTTGAAATTTCTGGGCCTGTGAATCTCCACTCCTCCGAAGGTCTAGTGTTTTTGGGCCGAGCCTGTTTCTGGGGTTTTGCTTCTCGAGACCCGGACTGCGATCAGTTTTAATTTTATCAGTTATACTGCAGTCGTTAATCAGAGCAGTTTTTTGCTCTCCTAAATGGTCTTCTTTCTCCCCTCCGAATGTTTCCTTTGCTTGCTGAAAAGAATAGTAATCAGCACTTTTGTAGCATTTTGTAAAGTTACCTAATCGAAGCGTGTGAGGCCCTGAGACTTCACTAACAGCTGTAGGAGATGTCTTTGACCCAGTGCCCTCTGGCACTGGGGAGACTGGGGGAGCGGGCGACTGAGGGCTCTGAAGAAACCTTTAATCTCGCTGCATCTGCAGGACTCTGCCCGGTTCCAGCTGGGCTGTGATTCAGGGTCAGGTGTGCAGTTATTATCTAGGTCCTGGGTTGGGAAGATCCCCTGGAGGAGGAAATGGCAACCCACTCCAGGATCCTTGCCTGGAGAATTCCATGGACAGAGGAGCCTGGCGGGTTGCAGTCCATGGGGTCACAAAGAGTCGGACACGACTGAGCACGCGCGCGCACACACACACGCTGTGATACTTGTATTTTTACTTACTGATATTTAGCGGTTCTTTTCCAGATCGGATCAGGTAGCCGTGATTTTTCATAGCTTAGCTGATAATATTCTCAGCATTTCAGCCGTTTGCTACTTGTATTGTGGGCGGGGAGGCATTTATCTAATTTTTCTTGGAGGAGTACTCAAGTGGCTATGATCATGAAAGAGTTTAATTTTTTGGTTTTTTTTAGTGTCTGTTTCTAGCCACAGCGTCTGTTTTCTGTGCTTCCTTTTTAGAAAAATCTTTTATTATTATTACTATATACCTTAAACTTTCCTACACTGCAGGTTTTTTGCAACATATTAATTTGATAGCAGTTTCTCCTGAAATCTGTATTTCATTAATTTTTTACCCTGAGACGCTCCTATTTCTTCTCAGATCACCCTGTTTATTGTGTACATGCCTGGTGCTGGGTTATGGAATCTTTATTATATGTGAGGTGGGAGGGGTAAGTCCCTTTAACCTTGAAAGTTCCACACTTTACATACTACATGATACTCAAAAGAAAGTTTAGGTTGAGTGCATTTGTATTTCCCTGCTCCACCCAAATCTCCCAATGCCATGAGAGAGAGATTTATCATGGGCAGGTATAAAATACTATATTTGCTTAAAAACCTGTAAACAGCATCTTAGTGGCAAGATATTAGAGTCTAAGCTCCCAATAACAATACAGGAAAGGGGTTAGAAACTATAGTTGATGGTCCCTTCAAGACATCAGTGGAAGAGGTTTAGAAGCTAAGTTGAAAGTGTCACTTCAGCTTTTGTACAAATTCAAGTTGCTCAGTTCTTGGAATGTTGTATCCATTACTGGCCAAAAAAGAGTGTTATGTTGTACAAAAATGCACACAGGTAGAACCTAAAATTATAAGTATGATGTTGGAGCTCTCATCTGAGAAAGAAGGGAGGAGCTTGACACTGACCCAGTTCAGACTTGTGGATCACATCCTTGCATAGTTGGAGCAAGGTGCAGCTTTTGCAAACCTAAGGTGTTAAAGCTATTTACGCCTCAGAATGGAAATATAATGGGACTGTCACTCAAGAAGTTGATAAAGACCAAAGATTTAAGTAATTCTGTCCTTACATAACAAGGTTTAAAGAAGCCTCGGCCACTGTGGGTGGCAGTTTTAATCCTGTGAAGGGGAGCCACCCTTTCCTGAAGGATATCTTTGTGCCACTTTCTGCCCATTGGTTGGCTTTGATCCATTTTTGCACTCTACCCTAGATCATGCTGTTTGAGGCGGTGTTGCCTCAGTTTTTATGCTCCTTGACCTACAGCTTTTGGTACTGGGTAAATCTGTTTTGCCTATTTAGTGCCATAGACTTATTAGTTGACATATCTTGACTATAGATTGTATTCAGTTCACTGTGGGGAGCTGGGATGGCCTGTGCTGGCCTGCCTCATGTTGGCTGTATTAACATGGGAAACTGCTTCTGTGCCTTATTTTACTAATCTCTGAGGAGATTAGCCTCCTAGGAGAGTGGGGAGGGTTAAATGGATTAGCACACATCAAGCACCTAGCCCAGTGGCATTTAGTAGGAACTTGAATGTTAGCTGTTTTGAGGGTTATTACCTTTATGGTGTTACCCTTGTCCTTTTGCCATCGTCCCCTCACACCATTCCCATCTCTGATCTTGCTGCTGTGGTAGGACTGTAACGTTAAGATGGAGAGTGTTGGTTGTGATTCTGTCCCTTCTTGCTTGATCTTCAAGGTGAATGCCAGTTGGCAGTGCAGTTTGTTCAGGGACCTCTGAAGAGAGGGAGGGCATTTTTTATTGTCCTCAGTAAAGCTTTAAAAACATAAGCACAAAGTAACGCCTAAATTACGCCCTTAATTTGCATTTAGCTTCATTCTCCAGAACTCTTTCTGAAGTAGTTTAAATTTTAATCAAGGTGTAGTTCTATTTATATTTTTAATATTTTAAAAATGTCACTTTTAGCATGTGTTCCAGTTCATGTTGAGTAGGATGAAAAAAAAACAACCCTAGATTTTGTGGGAGCCTGACACATTTCTCAAGCAATTAAGCAATTTAAGACAAGTGAGTTCTGTGTTTAATAATATGTAGTTGATCAGAGCACAGACCATATGTATATTTGTTTTGTCCAAGAGTACTTTGCCTGTCATTTTTTTTGGTGCTTGTTTTAAAAAAAAAAGCACAATTGACTCATGGTTAATATTTAAGTAAGGTTAACTTGTTTTGTGTGTTCACACATTATTCTTACTTGAGTCTGATTGCCAGTTTATCTTCAGCTGGATACTTAGGCCAGCAAAGAAGCTTCCACCAGTAATTGACCCTTGAGTAGGGGATGGGTTTTTTTTGCTTTGTAAAGAAGGGAAAAAAGAAAGTTATTAGCTGTGCATTTCTTCAATTTGTAGAATGAGTTTAAGCTTTGCTTCCTGAATTGCCTTTTTTTCATATAAGGAGCTCAGAGAGTTTATGGCTTTCATTTAGTTACTGGTGGGCAGCCAGTGGGATTTCTGGGAATGGCATTTCAGGAGTGGACTTCTTGGCTTTCTGGTTTACCTTCCTTTTAGTATGCCATACTTTGAGGAAGAGGGAGTTTGCACCTTGAAGGGGGTTGGAGCTGGGTTTGCACCCAAAGATTTTTTTTTTTGGTCCCTCTTAAAGAGCAAAAAGTGCACATTTCTTCTGGGGAGAACTCCTTAGGCTGTTAAAACAGGATGGGGTTGGGGGAGCCGTATTCTAAACTACAGATATGTTTTCCTGACATTGTATTGCTGAGGGCTCAAGTGGGTTAGAAGTCTTCTCTCTTGGCTCTGCATTGGTTCGCCCATCTCTTTTTCCTGCTCCCCACCCCCTGCCCCCCAGCTCTGAATTTTCTGATGCTGGATAGAAGAATGATCAGAATTGCTTTGTGTCATTTAGCTGTACTTTCCCCCTGTTGCCTCAGTGAGTTTGCCTCTGTTGAAATTTGCTTGAAAGCAGTGCAGGGACCTAAGAGAAGTTTTAAGGTCTCAGGAGACTGGCACCACCATTAAGTTGTAAGCTGTCCTTTGGGGCTCAGACTTCTTTATGGAGGGAATAGTTTTATTCCCAGGTATTAACTTTGTCCTCAGGCACATGGGGTGGGTGTGTCGTGAAGTTCTTCCCTCATTTCCTGTGTTGTCACACAGTTCTTTATTGGGCTGTTCTCTGATCTCCGTGATGTACTGATGACAGTAAAATCAGCTTCTGTTGGCATGTTAGTCTTTGGACTTGGAGTGTGGCTGGGGATACTCTAGAAGAGATAGGGCTGACAGGCAGAAAAGTGAATGCCACAGAACATGTTTGGACATTGTGGAGCAGAAATGGTACCTCAGTCAGGTTTTGGGTTTTCTCTGATGTGTCCTGGATGCACGTCACAATTATTTGCCCCTTTCTTGAGTTTCTAATTTCAGTTCCCCGCCCTCCGTCTTCTCCCCAGTTCTGCCTTAGGCACATACCTCACTGCCTGGCTCTCCTGGATCCACAGGCAGGTGATGCTGCTGGTTGCTGTGCCGTGTCTTCCTCCAGGTTATGCTGAAATGTGTGATGGTTTCTGCTGAGTGTGATTAAAAGTGAGCAAGCTGTAAGGTGCCTGCTGGAGTTGGGTTCCAGCCCTTCTCCTCCTGGCTGTGGGAATCTTTAGCGAGTCTCTTAGCCTCTCCCCACTTCTTCCCTTATCAACAGATAATGTTACTTGTCTTAGTGTTCTGAAGGTGGAAATGAGCTAAGTGCTTACAACTGTGCTAGTGTGTTCAGTGGAAGCTGTTTAATAATTGTTAGCTGCTTTTATGTAGTGTAGATCCATCAGCTCTGATCTGGTGATGACTTCTCTTATTTTAGAGTCTTTTAGCAATGCTTGAAGATCTGGTCTTGAGCTTGGGAGAGTTCAAACAATTCTAAAGATTTTAAGACTAATTGTGTGGGTTGTTGAGAGATAATCTTAGTGCTTTGTTTACTCGTATTTGGTTATTACAGTAAGTTCATACTCATAGAGCATTTAAATCTGAGCCTGGCACTTAAACACTACAGATGTGTAGTTTTTTCTGTGCACATTTTTTCTGTTCTAAGTACTTTAATGTCTCTGTCATTTCTTGTGACTGTTACAATAATCATCCCAGCAGAGCTGTCACCTGGGCTCAAGGGTCAGAGGCAGAGCTGAGGCTGGAACTCAGGTCTTTTACTTCCGGTTCTGCTGGCTGGAGATTCCTGTGGCTGAGATGACCAAGTCCTAC